CATTTGTTTCAATTAAAGGAGCACCATCGCATAATTGACTGACTAAATACGCGCGATCGCTGCCCGGAAAGCGATCGAACATCGCGGGCCACCAACGTTCTGATGAAAAGAAAAGGAAAAAAAAAAAAAGTACCGATGGTATATCCATGTTAAATGTAGACATATTGATAGAATTTGTTCGTTTTAGGATACTCTGATAAAGGAAAAAAAAAAACACAAAAATAAATATCAGATAACGTTAAAACATTCGTAACCCTAAAACGTACAAGAGTGTATGGTTCGGTAATCGGACCGTTCTAGCAAAAATCAGATTTCTATATCGATGTCTTTCAACGATAAGTTGTTCATGTTTGGAGGTTCTTTTACGAAACAAGGGTGAAACGATGAGAGCGAGCGAGAGCGAGAGAGAGAGAGAGAGAGAGAAAGAGAGAGAAAGAGAGAGCGAGAGAGCGTTGTTGCAACTAACGATCGCGGTTTTTCGAAAGGTCTTCGAGCTATATATATATATACACCCCCGACGCGTCGAAAGATAGAAAAGCTATATTTTTATTTCATTTGATTTGATCATCGTAGCGCAAAAGGAGCACGAATTATTATTTTTCTTTTTCTCGTTTTTATTTTTTTCTTCATTTCCATTTTTACTGGACAAACGATACTTTTTTTTTTTTTTTTTCGTTCTTATTAGACATGCCTCGAGATGCTTCTCTTGTTCCAATGGTGCTATGTTGCAAAGTATTTCTAAGAAAAGTTCTTGCGTCTTTTATTTTTGTTCCTTTTTTTTTTCTTTTTTGAAGATTTTTACGAAGGAAAACCGTCGGGAAAACAAGAGTGATCGTTGACGTATTTGTGAAAGAAATACGATCTAAGACAGACCTTGTTCGCGAGCAAGTCTGACAAACCGTACTCGATGGCGAAGAAGACTTGCGAATTGAACGTGTGCGTGTATATCAAAGGCAGGTCCGTTATTGTTGCGATTCTATATAATTCCGCGAGATTCATTTAATAACGACTAAAAGAAAGAATGCGAGAAGCGGTGCAAAAGGGGAGAGAACTTTCTTTTTCTCGGAGCAAAGAGTTGGAAAAAAAATGGGGAAAAAAGAAACTATGGAGAAAGGAAGCAAGAGAGGAAGGGCTTGTACGAGAATACGTGCCATAAAACTGCTTAGATAGTGACTTTCAAAATCGAACGATAACGACGGTCGTTTGTATGTGCTTTTAACGAGCCCTTTATCAATTAGAGAGACTATAAGAATGTAGAAAGAAAGTTGAAAAAAAGGAAGTGCAAAATTCCACATGGAAGATTTTATGTAATTTCTTTTTGTTTTGTTACCGTGGTTGTTTTAATCTCGAATTATAGTGCGTGAGCGACGAAGAGAGAAGAAAACTGTGAAAGAATGTGCGAAGCGTGCGTGAGAGGGAGAAAGACGAAGAAACGGAATGAGAGAGACATCAAAGCCGCGCGATCAGACACGAATGTATGAATGAGGACAACGGAGAGAAAATTAGAGAATGATTAATATTCAGTGAAAAAAAAAAAAAAGAAAGTCTATGTTCGTTTTTTTGTTTTTCTTTTGCGAGTTTTTTCTTCATTTTGTATACTTAGCAGTGACTTTTTAGCGTAACCCTCGTTTCCCAATTTAATAATAATTATTATTACGATACAAATATTTTTTATTATATGGGCATTTCAGTTCCTAAATTGGAAATAAAATATCTACTACGAACGATTTCGTTATTGATAGAGAGAGATCAAGCAAGTGAATGTGGCTCCCTTTAGAAATTATAATTCAAACTTTTCATTTAGAAAGTTACAAATTTTCATTTGCAATTTAAAATAAAAACCTTTGAAATTTCACTGTTTCACCGAGACGTGCTTGCTTTTGATCCAAAATACGAAAAGAGAAAAAAAGAAAAAATAACAGACACCGTTTACGTTGCTTCGATAACGATCCTTATAATCGAAAAGCGGCAGCAGCACGGGTAAGTATTATTAAAAATATTACATATATATCAATTATATATATATATATATATATCTATATATA